TGTGTGAGTACTTCATTCATAATGATGTGCTGCCAGGAATCTTAGCGAAGTATCCAAAATTTGCTTACTGTAGGTAATGCATACACATGGCTGTAAAGCTGCCGCCCAGTTGGGTGGGTGTGGAGCACATGACTGTAAAGCTGCCGCCCAGTTGGGTGGGTGTGGAGCATATGACTGTAAAGCTGCCGCCCAGTTAGGTGGGTGTGCAGCAAGACTAGTAACTGTGCGACTCACCATAGATGTAAAGTGCTTTGTATAGTGACTGTTGTGAGCCTCTTGTTGATCACTTCTGACACAAAAGATTATTGATGTATGTATTTGTGTGGGTGATTAAATATGTATGTGTATGTATATATATATATATATATATATATATATATATATATATATATATATATATATATATATATATATATATATATATATATATATATATGTACAAGTATGTATGAAAATGTGTACATGTATATATAACATTAATAATTTTGTAACTAGCGTCAAACAATTTTTATTTGCTTAGCTAAACGAACTTGAGGGTTCAGTTCCTAAACCGATTATGTGCCTCTGTAATCCTTTACACCACCGCCCACGGGATGGGTATGGGGTGCATAATAAAGAAAGAAATTGAATTGAGTTCAATGGACTGTTAAATTTTTCCAAAGATGGGAGCGTGTATCAGCACATCTTCTGCGTGTCCCACTTGTTGTGTTCCTTCCGGAAATTCAGCATTAGCAATGGCGTTCATAATGATGCTGATTAGTGTGGGATTTGCCACTCCTCTTTGAGTGGCCCCAAGTTTTACATTCATTGTTGTCGAGATTGATCCGTCGAAGCTGATCTCGGGTTTTCTTCCTGTGAGATAGTCTTCGATCCATTTCTTGGCTTCCCTTGACACCCATACATGCAAGCTCATCTAGGATAGTAATAATCCCTTGTGCCTAATTAAAGATTTTTGATGTCAACGAAAACCCGAGTACTTAGCTGTGTATTGAGCTAAACAGTAACTATTCAACTGGCTGCGCTCTGTTCTTTAACAAACCCGTCAACTCCCTTCCCCTAGTCTAGTTCGTTTATGTGACAGGCGGTATAAGATGGATCTTTCAAGCATCTTGCATGTTTATGATACGCAACTAATAAATCTCCAATTACCAGTCGCCTATGGTTTCAGTATGGGGATGATTATTACGTGTTTCCATGGTATTGTAACACTCTACTTAGAAATTATTTATTGAAAAATGGAGTAGCGAGGATTTCCCGACGCCTCACACAGTGCATTGAGTATGACACTATCTTCACCAGTGCATTATTGTTTACCTTTTGCATAGCCCTCTTTACCTACTGGACTGCGATTGGTCGTCCATACTTGTCGTCGCTAGAGTGTGCTCTTGCCATCTTAAATCTTCTGTCACAGCAGGAGGTGTTCCCTGCTTATTTCTGCATGGAGGGAGCATGCTGCTGCCTCACTCCACTTGTGTATTAGTTCCTCCAGCCTTACCCTTGAGGTCTGTCAGCCGCAGACCGGGCTCTGCTCTCGTATCCTTAACCACACTTGTCTTGCAGATGTTTCTCTTCCATTGAAGCTAGTGGAGTCAAGCCACTGACTTTCCCGCTCTTTAATATTTTCTTCCCTGACTACTTGACACACAGTTATAAACAGCTCTTCCCCCCCCTCCTCCCCTCATTGTTCTCCCCTCTCCTCACTACCCCCTTCCCCTCATTGTCCCCCTTCTACCTTCACCGAATTGTTCTCCCCTCTCTTCACTACTCCTTCCCCTCATTGTTCCCGCCCTCCCCTCATTGTCTCCCCTCTCCCTTTACCTCATTGTTCCCCTTCCTCTCACTACTCCTTCCCCTCATTGCTCCTCCTCCCCTCATTGTCTCCCCTCTCCCTTCACCTCATTGTTCCCCCCTCCCTTCACTACCCCTTCCCCTCATTGTTCCCCCCTCCCCTCACTACCCCTTCCCCTCATTGTTCCCCCTTCCCCTCATTGTTCCCCCCTCCCCTCACTACCCCTTCCCCTCACTACCCCTTCCCCTCATTGTTCTCCCCTCCCCTCACTACCCCTTCCCCTCATTGATGAACCATCCCCTCACTACCCCCTTCCCCTCATTGTTCCCCCTCCCCTCACTACCCCTTCTCATTGTTCCCCCCTCCCCTCATTGTTCCCCCCCTCCCCTCACTACCCCTTCCCCTCATTGATGAACCCTCCCCTCACTACCCCCTTCCCCTCATTGTTCCCCCTCCCCTCACTACCCCTTCTCATTGTTCCCCCCTCCCCTCACTACCCCTTCGCCTCATTGTTCCCCCCCTCCCCTCACTACCCCTTCCCCTCATTGATGAACCCTTCCCTCACTACCCCTTCCCCTCATTGTTCCCCCCCTCCCCTCACTACCCCTTGTGGTTGAGTGTTCAATAAACCCTTGAACTGTATGTTTAACACTTCTCTAACCCTGTCCATGGAGGACAGAAGAAAATGTATATATGCTGGTTAGCATTGTAAATGTGTGGCCACGTCTGTGGTAGAAAATAAAAAAAAAAAAAAAAAAAAAAAAAAACTACCCCTTCCCCTCATTGTTCCCCCCTCCCCTCACTACCCCTTCTCTTCATTGTTCCCCCCTCCCCTCACTACCCCTTCTCCTCATTGTTCCCCCCCCCCTCCCCTCACTACCCCTTCTCCTCATTGTTCCCCCCTCCCCTCACTACCCCTTCTCCTCATTGTTCCCCCCCCTCCCCTCACTACCCCTTCCCCTCATTGTTCCCCCTCCCCTCACTACCCCTTCCCCTCATTGTTCCCCCCTCCCCTCACTACCCCTTCCCCTCATTGTTCCCCCTCCCCTCACTACCCCTTCTCCTCATTGTTCCCCCCTCCCCTCACTACCCCTTCTCCTCATTGTTCCCCCCTCCCCTCATTACCCCTTCTCCTCATTGTTCCCCCCCTCCCCTCACTACCCCTTCCCCTCATTGTTCCCCCCTCCCCTTATTGTTCCCCCTCCCCTCACTACCCCTTCTCCTCATTGTTCCCCCCCTCCCCTCACTACCCCTTCCCCTCATTGTTCCCCCTCCCCTCACTACCCCTTCCCCTCATTGTTCCCCTCCTCCCCTCACTACCCCCTTTCCCTCATTGTTCCCCCCATTTCTCGGGGAGAAATTATACTTAGCAATTCTTCAATAACATCAATTAAGATAATAAATAAGGTTACATAACTCGATTTTTAAATCTTGAAGGCTTTAAAATTTTGTGTGGCAATATTTCCTCCAACTACTGGTCAAGGGACTGTCCTCAACGCTGTAGTCATCACTGCATTTATAAACAAAATATATAACATACATAATATATAGTTGTCATAAAACAAATTATTATGGTTTGTATTTTTATTAATAGTCTTGGACCCTTCATAACTATTCTCCTCTTCGCACTTTCACTTTTTACTGTTCAATATGCACTTAATAAAGTATCGTTAGCCAACTACGTGGTCTGGGGCCAGATTCACTTACGCACTTACGCAAGTACTTACGAACGTGTACATCTTTCCTCAATCTTTGATGGCTTTGGTTACATTTATTAAACAGTTTACAAGCATGAAAACTTGCAAATCAACTGTTGTTATTGTTATAAACTGCCTCCTGGTGCTTCGGTGAACAGTTTATTCTGTTCGGAGCTCATTAACTGTTTAATAATTGTAAATAAAGCTGCCAAAGATTGAGAAAAGATGTCCAGGTTCGTAAGTGTTTGCGTAACTTCTTCGTGAATCTAGCCCCTGGTCAGTAGAGTGGGTGCCTTGCTCCTTGCACGTGGGTAGTGCTATATAGTCACACTGGCTTAGTACTTTCTCATCGTAAATTACCTTACGCTCTCATTCCCATTAACATAATATACGTGGGATAACTGGAGTGTTTCAAGCGTAGGTTAGACATAGATGTGAGTAATTTTGTGTGGCCATATATAGGAGCTGCCTCGTTTGGGCCAATAGGAGCTGCCTCGATTGGGCCAATAGGAACTGGCTCGTTTGGGTCAATAGGAACTGCCTCGTTTGGGCCAATAGGAGCTGCCTCGTTTGGGCCAATAGGAGCTGCCTCAAATGGGCCAATAGGAGCTGGCTCAAATGGGCCAATAGGAGCTGGCTCAAATGGGCCAATAGGAGCTGGCTCAAATGGGCCAATAGGAGCTGCCTCAAATGGGCCATGATCGTAGGTGAGATGCATATAATAGCTTAAGGAATAAATTATGTCAACGTTTTATGCTGTGAGCCATAACATGGGGGACGTGTTCACTTGAAGAGCAACTCACCAGGAACTTGTTCATTGATGGGTCATAATAACTTGTTCACCGACGGATCATAACACCCATGGAACCTGTTCACATACACCTCAGCAAACACGATACTGTTCACCCAGAAGTCGAAGCACTGGGAATTTGTTCATCAACTTGCAACAATGCCAGAGACTTGTTCCATGGCTTACAACAACACCAGAAAACCTGTTCATCCGCTAGCAATAACCCCAGCAATGTGTTCACCAACGGTTCAAGACACTGCTTCATGGTGCACTCTTACCAAGGAACACGTTCAATGGACACAGGATAAACCATCACACCAGAATTACGTCCACGAGTAGTTCATTCTGTTCAAATATTGTTCAAGAACGCAACGTGAATGGAAGACTCTGGTGCAATGGGGCTCTAGGACTCACTGGGTGGTGTTGGGCGTCCTGGGCACGGCCGGGTTCCTCTGTGCAGCTGGAAGGATGTCCTGTATGTGGAAATACTCTTATGAACAGCTGAAAGACGGTCCTAGACAGCAAGGTTCTCCTGTGTAGCTGGGAAGAAGCAATAGGCACTGCTGGACTCCTCTGTACAGCTGGGAGAACGCCCATGCTTGGTCAGGACTCCTCGCTACAACCGGAAGAGGTCCTAGGCACCAGAGGACTCCTCGCTACAACCGGAAGAGGTCCTGGGTATCAGAGGACTCCTCGCTACAACCGGAAGAGGTCCTGGGTATCAGAGGACTCCTCGCTACAACCGGAAGAGGTCCTGGGTATCAGAGGACTCCTCGCTACAACCGGAAGAGGTCCTAGGCACCAGAGGACTCCTCGCTACAACCGGAAGAGGTCCTAGGCACCAGAGGACTCCTCGCTACAACCGGAAGAGGTCCTGGGTATCAGAGGACTCCTCGCTACAACCGGAAGAGGTCCTGGGTATCAGAGGACTCCTCGCTACAACCGGAAGAGGTCCTAGGCACGGAGTTTAGCCATCTCTGCCTCAGAGGTGGAATTATCTGATCTGGAAGCAAATTAGAACATAATAATAATAATACTTTACATATCAAAAATACATTAGCCTACATGTTTATGAAAATAGGAAGCAAAGTATTATAGTTACGTGAATGAAAAGTCCAATATCCTTTTTATATAACATTGCTGAATGGGGTACCGATTAAAAAGATAGAGGCTCATGGCATTGGGGGTGCTATATTAAGCTGGACTAGGGCATGGCTATACCAAAGGAAACAGAATTAGTATAAATGGAGCCAAATGGTACCCAGTGGTGCCCAGATGTGTCTGTTGTCTGTCTGTCTGTCTCTCTCTCCCTCTCTCTGGGGGTGACGTACCTGTCATACCGCTGGTGCTGGGGGTGACGTACCTATCATACCGCTGGTGCTGGGGGTGACGTACCTGTCATACCGCTGGTGCTGGGGGTGACGTACCTGTCATACCGCTGGTGCTGGGGGTGACGTACCTGTCATACCGCTGGTGCTGGGGGTGACGTACCTATCATACCGCTGGGGCTGGGGGTGACGTACCTATCATACCGCTGGTGCTGGGGGTGACGTACCTGTCATACCGTTGGGGCTGGGGTGACGTACCTATCATACCGTTGGGGCTGGGGGTGACGTACCTATCATACCGCTGGTGCTGGGGGTGACGTACCTGTCATACCGTTGGGGCTGGGGGTGACGTACCTATCATACCGTTGGGGCTGGGGGTGACGTACCTGTCATACCGCTGGTGCTGGGGGTGACGTACCTGTCATACCGTTGGGGCTGGGGGTGACGTACCTGTCATACCGCTGGGGCTGGGGGTGACGTACCTGTCATACCGCTGGTGCTGGGGGTGACGTACCTGTCATACCGTTGGGGCTGGGGGTGACGTACCTGTCATACCGCTGGGGCTGGGGGTGACGTACCTGTCATACCGCTGGTGCTGGGGGTGACGTACCTGTCATACCGTTGGGGCTGGGGGTGACGTACCTATCATACCGCTGGTGCTGGGGGTGACGTACCTGTCATACCGTTGGGGCTGGGGGTGACGTACCTGTCATACCGTTGGGGCTGGGGGTGACGTACCTGTCATACCGCTGGTGCTGGGGGTGACGTACCTGTCATACCGTTGGGGCTGGGGGTGACGTACCTATCATACCGCTGGTGCTGGGGGTGACGTACCTGTCATACCGCTGGTGCTGGGGGTGACGTACCTGTCATACCGCTGGTGCTGGGGGTTACGTACCTGTCATACCGTTGGGGCTGGGGGTGACGTACCTGTCATACCGCTGGGGCTGGGGGTGACGTACCTGTCATACCGCTGGGGCTGGGGGTGACGTACCTGTCATACCGGTGGGGCTGGGGGTGACGTACCTGTCATACCGCTGGGGCTGGGGGTGACGTACCTGTCATACCGCTGGGGCTGGGGGTGACGTACCTGTCATACCGCTGGGGCTGGGGGTGACGTACCTATCATACCGTTGGGGCTGGGGGTGACGTACCTGTCATACCGCTGGGGCTGGGGGTGACGTACCTGTCATACCGTTGGGGCTGGGGGTGACGTACCTGTCATACCGTTGGGGCTGGGGGTGACGTACCTGTCATACCGCTGGGGCTGGGGGTGACGTACCTGTCATACCGTTGGGGCTGGGGTGACGTACCTGTCATACCGTTGGGGCTGGGGGTGACGTACCTGTCATACCGTTGGGGCTGGGGGTGACGTACCTGTCATACCGCTGGGGCTGGGGGTGACGTACCCGTCATACCGTTGGGGCTGGGGGTGACGTACCTGTCATACCGCTGGGGCTGGGGGTGACGTACCTGTCATACCGCTGGGGCTGGGGGTGACGTACCTGTCATACCGTTGGGGCTGGGGGTGACGTACCTGTCATACCGCTGGGGCTGGGGGTGACGTACCTATCATACCGTTGGGGGTGACGTACCTGTCATACCGCTGGGGCTGGGGGTGACGTACCTGTCATACCGCTGGGGGTGACGTACCTGTCATACCGCTGGGGCTGGGGGTCCTCCAGGTCGCTGATGGTGTCCGGGAGCTTGACCCCGAGCGTCTCCCTCAGCGGCAGCATGGACAAGCCCGCCAGGATGGCTGACAGCCCGAACGTCAGGGACGGCGCCGATGGGTAGACGGGGCCCTGGGGGATAGACTCAGCTCTTAGGGATTGAGTAAACGCCATGTTAAGGAGTTCATTTTCCCGAGGGACAATGAACTCCTGAGGAATAGTGAACCCAGGATAGAGGGGATAGAGTTCCCACATATATGACAAGTTCACATATATCACAGGGTCACCCCACATGACAGAGACATGTGTCAGGAGCGGGGAGGAGGGAGGGAGGGAGGCAGACTTACCAGGTAGTCGGTGATGAATGGGGAGAAGATGGAGCCCACCCTGGAGGCTATGGTGGCGAAGCCCAGGCCCTGGAGGCGCACCTCCGTAGGGAAGAGCTCCATGGTGTACAGGTAGAGGATCTGGTAGGCGGCGCTGATGCACATCTTCCCCACCATGGCCAACGTCATCACCAGCCACATGGTACCTGCATGGTGGTGGGTATAGTCTCATGGTAGGTGTACTCTCATGGTAGGTATAGTCTCATGGTGGTACTCTAATAGTAGGTACTCTCATGGCAGGTACTGTCATGGTGGTAGTGGTGATGGGGAGTCATCCCTCTGCTACTGCTACTATAATTATATTAATGTTTCTCCTAGAGTTCTCTATCGAAGGTCAACATCCCTCAAAATGGATCAATAAAACTGCAATTATACTCTGGGTGTCCCAGAGTCAAAATATCTACCAAAGGAGACAATAGTGGCGTGTCCCTGTACCGTGAGAGAGCGTCCCTGTACCGTGGGAGAGCGTCCCTGTACCGTGGGAGAGCGTCCCATGCTTGGACCTGAGGCAAAGTACAGTGCCTTAAGCCAGCCAAGCGGTCCTCCTAATTTTTCCCAACGTCAAGAAAGCGGTCAGTTTAAAGTGTGCTCTCCTATCCTACCAGAGGACCAAAAACAGAAAACGGGACAGTACCTCACTTTCGCGAGCCGCTTCCATTTTCTAGTACGACAGTTTTTGGCCTTACGTAACGCATTCGCGCGAAAAGCGACGTTCTTTGTAGGGGGTTGAAGCTAGAGTGATGCTAGACTGACAAAACGCTCCCTCTCCCACACTGTTTACAGTGACGGTTCATCACTGCTTCATCAACTGTGGGGGACAACTACACACGGGTGCTACTGTGAGGGAGTGAGAGAAAGCACATTCTCACATTCCTGGAGAATGTGTACACAAATGGACCTGCACTCTTCCGACATAATTATATGAAACATTCCTGGCAGTCAAACGAGAGCATGTATGCATAGTTGACTCATGCTTATTAGTAACTGTCCGCCCCGACGGCGCCCTGATCCTCACCACATTACAGTATCGTGCTTGTGTCTGGGGAGCAGCTCAGGCAAAATCTTATTTGATGGAATCAGAATCAGTCTCCGATGGATCGCAGCCCATATTACCCTCCGAATGAGAATGAAAATAAACGGCCGCCCCGGACTGCCTATAACAGGCTGAGAGCACCAGTACACCGATGAGCACCAACATTCAGTACATCTGGGACAAAGTGAAATTTACACTAGCTGTTCTACAGTGCTGTGCAGGAAGTTTAAATATCTATAAGTCATCCAATAACGTCAGCTTCCTTCTAAACGTTACTTGTGATAGGTTTAGGCTCGACTCCTAGTACCTGTGGGAGGGAGCCTGCCAGAGGTACTTGTAGTCGTAGACTATACACTCCCAGAGGTAGTAGGTACTGCTACCTGCTGAAGTAGATCTGGCCAAATGAAAATGTTATCATCAAAACTGTTCACAGACTTTACAAAGAGAAGTATATAAGTAAACACACAGCCTGCATGTTAGAAATGAAAAGGACATGACGTTTTAATTCTTCGTAGACTAAGTAATTGAATGTGAAATAGGCATGAGTTTGGAGACAATTCTGCCACCAATGTTCAAGAAGCCTCAAAGTATTTTATCCTGAATGACGTATCACCCAAGACCCTGGCCGGGTGTGGCCAGTGGGGCTGCTACAGCACTCGCTGTAACCTAACACAGCCCAAACGTCGAGGGTAAGCCTCTACTGGCTTACCCTCACCAAGTCCGTAATGGTACCTACAGTACTGTAGGCTACAGTACTATAATGTTACCTTCAGTACCGCAATGTTACCGTCAGTACTGTAGTGTTACCCACAGTACTATAATGTGGCGTAGAGTATTATAATGATGCCTACAGTACTGTAATGTTAACCTACAATACTTCATATTTCTACTATCATATCTACTGCATATACTTTTCTCTAAAACACACACACACACACACACTTACTTTCGGGAGCCGGTGGCAGAGCGGACAGCACGCTGTTCACGTGATCCTGTGGTCCCGGGTTCAATCTCGGGCGCCGGCGAGAAACGATGGGCAGAGTTTCTTTCACCCTACGCCCCTGTTACCTAGCAGTAAATAGGTATCTGGGGATTAGTCAGCTGTCACGGGCTGCTTCCTGGTGTGTGTGTGTGTGTGTGTGTGTGTGTGAGGTGTGGAAAAAAGTAGTAGTAGAAACAGTTGATTGACAGTTGAGAGTCGGGCCGAAAGAGCAGAGCTCAACCCCCGCAAACACAACTAGGTGAATACACACACACATCCCCAGGATGCAGCCCGTAGCAGCTGTCAGGCTCACAGGGGACTT